AGCATGGAATTGGCTGGGGAATTCTGGGAGTTGAAGTCCACAGGTCTTCAAGTGGCCAAGGTTGAGAAACACTGCTCTAGAGTAAAATGGTGATGGTGAATTTGAAAGCCTCGCTTTTGAAGGCTGGCCGGACCCTATCCTGGGCTTTGCCAATCGTCTTAAATGATTTTAAATGCAGGTACAGGGAGTCCCACTTTAAGAACGAGTTCCGTTCCCAAGGTCTGTCCTTAAGTTGAATTTGTACGTAAGCCAGAACAGTATGATTGTGTCATATTGTATAAGGAGTATTGTGTAATGAACTCGAACCACTGTGCACGTAACTCGAATCTTTGGGTATTTAACTCAACTTTTACTACAGTAGTCTTCATTCTGAGCTATGGGTCGTCCCTAAACTGGGCATTCTTAACCCAGGGGCTCCCTGGAGTTGCAGAATTGCTTCACTAACTTTGCTATATAGAGAGTGGTATGGCTCTTTTCACGGGAGAGGTTGGCTCCTGGTTTATACAGCCCGAAGCATTCTGCTGAACCAGTTTGGGCTCCTGGCATGGCCTGTCTCCTCACACCGGGCCTCCGCCCTTTCTGGCAGGGCCTGTGGGTGTGAGCCAGCGCCACCCTGGACAGCTGTGGAAAAGGGGCTGGAAAACTCACCTTGTTTGAAATGGCTTTCTTTCCTGATTCCCCAGATACACCAGCACATGCACACACATGCCCGCCCCGGGCGATCGCCTGAGCTTCCCTTGTGCCCGGCACTCCTGGCCAGGAGGAGCTGGCATCCCACAGCCGTTTGGAACCAGCCAGAGCAAGAGGGATGGCGGACAGTCTCCTGACTCAGGTGGGGTGTTGGCAAACCCTTTTGCCCGAGTGAAGTGGGGGAGGGAATGGATTTACTGTAATGAGGCTGCTGGAACTAAGGCAGTTGGCCCGGGCAGAGCAGGTCCTGGCAGAAGGGAGTGTGGATCAAGGCTCCTCTCAGCTCCCTGTGTGAGGGCAGGCAAGCCTTTGCTTTACCCCGTGGCAAAGCAGGCAAGCCTTTGCTTTACCCCCCCTTTGCTTTAACCTCTGGGGCTTCCTGTTCTGCAGGTAACTTGGTGCCCTCCGCACAGGAACTCCTTCAGCTTCACCCACCCCATAGGACTCCTTCCAGGGCCTTTCTGGAAGAAGCAACTTTCGGGCTCCTGCTTCAACAGCTGTTTCTTGCCGTGCCAGTCTAGGGAATTCAGCCTTGTCCCTGCAGACGCCCACTTTCATCTGCTTTCAGAGGAAGCTGACCTGTTAGGAAACTGAGTGCACGGTTGGGAATGCTCTCTGTGGGGCAGGGATGTTTGCCAGGGGTGGTGGTGGTAAAAACGGTCAAGTTGGCCCTGCAACTGTGCGTCAAAGCCCTGTCCCTTTTTTAACCAGCATCATGGGGTAAATGTGGTGGCCATCTTGACTTTTTTGACCCTGCAGGTTCCCCTGGTTTATAGAAGGGGTCCTTCACTGGGTGGAAGAAGCCAAGGCCAAGTTGACTGGGGGGAACATGTGCAGGGCTCCGTTGCAGGTCAGAGCGGCTCTGCCTTTCAGGGCACGGGGCAGATGCCAAGAAGCCTGAACCGTAGGATTGTGTGGGGAAGCTTCTCTTACTCATCCCCACGTACCAGGGAGACGGGAAGGCCCCAGCAGTCTCCGTTTGGGGAAAAACTGTGTGCGAATCAGCTGCAGTCGTTTGGGTTACGCACATCGTCTGGAGGACAGAGCGCACAGTAAAGCACCCAGCTGGTTCAGCAAGCTCGCTTCAGCAGGCCAGCTAGCAGCTCATTCCCACGGCTAAGCTGGGATGGATTTTCTTTGGCTTAGCAGGTTGCATGAACTCAGCTTGTTGGGCACACGTAAGGGATGAGCTAATTCAGGGCCAAAGGAGAGCGTGTGGCACGCACCAGCCCGGGGCGGCCTCCGTGAGCCTGCCTTGAGAAGCCTTGTCCGAGATTGTTTTATCTTTAAGCAATTTATAAAATATAGAAGGAAGTGTCCGAGCCACTAATTCAAAACAGGAATGAGAATATAACATATCCCCGGGGTCTCCAAATCATTCCGTTCCCAGAAATAAACAGCTCAAACAGCCAGCCAGATGCCAGTGGGGACCTCCAGGTCTTCAGGGCCTCGGGGAAGAGCCAGTGGGGTCTTGGGGGACCGGGGAAGGCTGAGCCATGTGCCGTGGATCTCCTAGACATTCCGTAATAGCCAGGAGCTGAGCGTACTGACGGCAGCAATTCTGGTGGGTGGGCAGAAACAATTGGAGGAGTTGTCCGGCAGCTACCCTAGTCCTGGGCCACGTACCTGTGGCAAGAAGGCCTGGGAGACAGGCTTCCAAGGGCAGGTCTGTTGCCCCCTCGTTGGGGCCACTTTGCTCTGAGCATCTTCTGGGCCCTTGTGGATTATTGGACCCTAGAATGAAAACTCAGCTGGGTGGAGGGGCCGCCCTTCCTCCCTGGCTGGGGGGCTGTGGTAGCACTGGGGGGACATTTGCCCTGCCTGCTCCTTTTTCACACACCATTGCAGCCCCGTTAGGAGAAGCCAGCGTTTCATGTGCAGCTCGGCTCCAGGGGCCGGTCCCCTGGGACTCGGCAGGAAGCTGCAGGGGCCCCTTTGAGGCAACCTCTGTGTCTTTGCAGGTGACCTTTGAGGACGTGGCCGTGTCCTTCTCCCCCGAGGAGTGGGAACTGCTGCAGGACTGCGAGAGGGAGCTGCACTGGGTGGTGATGATGGAGAACTACCGGATGCTGATCTCCCTGGGTAACCCCCCTTTCCTTGCCCTGCTGACCAAGGGCTCTTCCTTTTCATAGCCCCTTTCTGAGGTCCTGCTTTCTGGCCCTCGGGGGCTTGAGGTCTACCCTGTTCTCAAGGGTCAGTCTCTGCTGCCTTCTGCAAGGCCATTCTTTAGGGCAGCGTTTCTCAACCTTGGCCACTTTAAGACGGGC